TTATTTACTCACGTCTACTATCCAATGTAAATCGTTTGCTTATATGATTTCCTTGAATGTGATTTGGAACGCATTCCCTAATCTCATTCATACTCTGGCCAGAGATTCCAAATCATATCATAGAGTATTCTCCCTCAACTGTTTGAAGGTTAGAGATCCCTTGTTGCGCATTCACTTGTCTCCATAGCTAAGTGGCTTAACCCCAACGATGCCGTGGACACCCCGATGGGGTGACTTTGACATAATCAAAGATCAAGGACTTAACCACAAGACAAATGTGATGCCTCAGGTCAAAGGACTACTTTGCATTATCCCAACCATGAGTTCTTATGTGACATGGAATATGAGAACTCTTCGTTGATCACGTTCAGTGTACTCATTCTCTATTGAGCACCTACGTACTTGTCTTGATGTCACACACACCAATGACTCGAGACTAATCACTCTCCCTGAGAGAAGACATAGTACGTACCGATCTTTACGGACTGTCAATGCCCAATTGACAATCCTATGATCAGGAACATTTAGGATGTGTCTACGACAGAATGGTCTCATGAATCTAACTTCATTAGATTACATTCTCCCAATCACATATTCCTTGGACTTTATCGTTTAAGCATATAACATTTATATGAGACGACTCAAACAATAATCTTTGCCCTTTATATGTAAAACTAGATTAGTTTAACATGTGAAATGTCCGTAAAGTATCATCATATGATTGGCTTTAGGGCACATTTCCAACAGTTCCATATCAGAAGCTAAAAGAACACGCCCCATACTACTTGGAGTGGCCGAGGATTCACTAGGAGTGGTCCTAGTCAACAAGCTTTGACTTGGATCATTAGAGGGGGGCACGTCAGGTACAACATCCTTAGTGGCAATGGCAACGGATGCACGGCTTCCACTTACTCCATTAGCGGCTCGTTCCTTGGCACGTAACTTTTTCTTAAATTTAGGGAACCATTCAGGTACTTCATGTTTATGAAAACATGTATCTTATGTATGACGAGTTTGCCCACAAAAAGTGCACTTCAAATCATCCTTGTTTTCTCGAGTGAATGGCCGAGAATTGGCCAATGGTGATGAATTAAAAGACCGGCTACCCAAAGGTGGCCGTGACACCATAGCCACGGGAGGAGCTCCTCTTTGCTTCCCAACACCTGCTTCCCATCATAGTTGCATGGCGTTGTGCTTCCCGCCTAACAATGGAGAACACCTCATCTACAAATGGTAAAGGTTGAGTTCTCAAAATATCACTACGCACTTTGTAAAAAATATCATCAAGCCATGCTAGGAAGGCATACACACGATCCAGTTGAATCTCTTCTCAAAGTGTCTTCAAGTCAATAACACACTCCATCTTGATTTGTTTTCTTTGATCCAACTCTTGCCAGATAGCTTTGAGATCGACATAGTATACACCGATAGGTCTTCTTTCTTGGCGAAGTTGGAATGACCTCACCTTCAACTCATAAATCTGAGAAATATCAGACCCATCATAATAGGTTCAAACAATTTCTTCCCAGACTTCTTTAGCAGTACGAAGATGAATGAAAAATCCCATGACGGTAGGATCCATGGAATTAATCAGCCACCCTTTCACAATTGCATTCCCTGTCTCCCAAACTTCATACTCGACATTGTCTTCCTTGGGCTATTTGGTGCTCCTTGTCACGAATCCTTTCTTACCACGCCTAGTGATATGCATCTCCAACACCTTGGACCAAAGAGGATATGTCACATCCCGGCCGGGGGGCGAATCACATCCCGGGCCCGTTCTACCACCGTAGCACGATATTATCCGCTTTGGGCTTACCATTCCCTCACGGTTTTGTTTTTGGGAACTCACGAGCAACTTCCCAGTGGGTCACCCATTCTGGGAGTGCTTTGGCCTCATTCTCGCTTAACTTCGGAGTTCCTACGGAATCCAAAGCCAGTGAGCTCCCAAATACATTTAAGGATCACTCCCCGATGTGGGATGTTATAGGATAATTTGATCCATTAAATTTTACAGTACTTGGTACTGCCGAAGCATCCTCTGAATACAACCGGATTCACGACTAAACCGTGGGTAGAGCCATGCGCCCCACCCTCCAACTTCAGCCCCAACTCACTTTTGTCGCTTGCTATTGGTCACGGCTCAACACAACACACACACATACATGCAGCAGACGATTTTTTTCCTGCAGAGGAAATCGCAGCAAACACAAGGCGGCACAATTTGAAATACTTACAATAGAAGCAGAAAAAATACTCCACGTCTGTAGCTCTTACACGGGCATATATCACAGCAATTATGAGCCGCAATTACAAGCAACAACAATTGTTAAAACACACATGACATAATTGCAAAGCACCACAGCACTTGTAAAGCACACACGGCACAATTGCAAAGCAGTAGCAATTGTGAAACACACACGGCACAATAACAAACCAACACAGCAATTGTACGCGATGCACGAACAATAAGGAAACAATAAAGGACATAATATCCTTCCTAAAACATGACTAATAATTACAAAATATTCCTAAATATTGACTTATCCAGTGTAAGTGAAAATGGAGGAATAATCGTTATGTTATTTGGCTGGACTATGAAGTCGGAGAGGTTGTCAAGATGATCACATGCTAGAACCCTTTTGGAGGTTGCCAAGGTCAATACAAATATGATCAGCGACTGAACAAATCTCGATTGGCTCAAAACGTTCCTAAAAACAGCTACGATTCTCCATAGCAGCAAACGCAGCCACCGCGTGCTCTGCCATGTAGCAGAATCTTGGTACAAAACGAAAAACACAAGCGGGATTCGGATCCAACTTAATGGAACCGAATCAGAACAAAAACTGAAATGGCAGGGCATTCCCGCTCCATTGTTAAGAAACATGATCACATTCATCCTTCACATGCAAGGGAGTTTGACCTGTAATACATAGATTGCATGTGTTTTTTCATATAAAAGAGAGAATTCTCCAAGGACAGCTAATGCCACCCGCCATAACCGAGCTCACTATCCATATTTATTGCAACAAAGCTTTGTTCTGCCTCTCCCATGTCTGTTTTCGCACCCACAAATTCTACCTCCGCAACAGTTAGCCAAGCCTTCAACCTCTTGATCTCAATATCCAAAGCATCCACATTATTTCTCAGCTCCATTACATGTCGTTCTCTTTCCACAAACTTCTTCATACCCAAAGCAGACTGAACATGAGGCTCCAACCAAGCCAAGTCAAATTTGAAGGTTCCGAGCTCCTCCCATAAAAGTTGAAGGTGCTCCTCACAGGGATCCTCGATCATATCCTTACCCTTTGTAGTCTTCAAAAAGTGCAGGAGTCTACCCAAAGCTGTGAATGCCCATTCAGTAAACACACGACTTCTCTTCCTTTGGCACTCGATCAATGAAGGATGCAACAAACAGACTTCCTCTAGAAATGGAACATAATCTTTGTCTATATTCCCTAAACCCCGGAAATCCATGAGCTCACCAAGTGGGGTGGACCGTGCTAGCTCATGTTCCTTGACTATGGGAGATTCAACAGGGCTATCGTTAGGCTCAGGGCAATATTGTTCAGAGCTTGGTTCTTCCTGGAAAGCAAGCACTTGATAAGAACTGGATGTCGTAAGTGCTTTTGAAGAGATTGGAGCTTGCAACGAATCAGCATTTGTTTGCTTTTGTTCAGAACTTGGTGAATCCAGAAAAGCAAGCACCTGTGGAAATTGCACCGCGTCCACATTTGAATGTCCTTGCCTTTCATTTTCGTTCTCTGAGGGTTTTATAGGTGTAAAAAACCACGTTTCATGGACTTCAGAAGCACTCGTGTAGTCAACCTGACTTACAGCAACCTCGGCTTCCAGAACACATGCATCATTCACAAGAAATCCTTCGGTGCAATCAGAAAGCTCACTTAGAGGCATGAATGATGTGAAGCCCCAATCACTTTTACTTGCGCTGAAGACATGTTTAGTTTCTGTACAATCAAACAACGGCGGATTACAAAACATTTCTGTCATAGAAAAATTGCTACCGCAACCGACGTCATAACCTAAGACAATTGTTTGGTACGGAGTCTTGTGAAAAATGAAAAGTAAAAACTGCATAGAATGCAATCAAGGATTGAGTGACAGAAACACCAACAAGTGCACAAACGTGAAATAGACAAGATGAAGAGTGTGGAGTGTAAATAAATTACCAACTGTTATGGACTTATCACTGTCAAGTTGATTGACAACGGTCAAGGTGAATTGGGCATATCTGCTCCACCCAGATGATAATGTAGTAGCATCTGCGACATTCAAATATATGGACAGGTCGTGCTTTCCGGGATTTCCACTGCTTCCCTTTGGATATACAACGATCTGCCTGAGATAAACAATCGATAAAAAAATAAAAAATAAAAAAAAATAAAAAATAAGACATTTAGGCTAAATGATTTAGCATCTTCTCAAGTAAAATTTTCATATTATTATTACATGCATCTATCTGAAAGCGAACATGATGGCTTTGCTACTTTTGGTTATCATATCTGGTTTAGTAATTCTTGTTGTTCAGTAATTTCTAGATTAAACTTTGACATGTGGTTGATCTTCGTTGTATTTATTTTATTTTTTATTTTTGGTCAAATAGAAAAATAGGGGAATAAGAAACTGAAGAATATCATTGATTCATTCGGAGGAGAAACTAAAACATACGTACCATTTAAAATCACCGACCGCGAAACCCTCAGAGTAATGCTTCTGGGGTCTCAACCTTGAAAATTTTTCAATCCTCCATGTGAAGGTTACAGATACAAGCTCCCCAACTTGCTTTTTCTCCATTTTATTATGCAACTCAAAAGCAACAAACTAAACAAGAAAACACCAATTATCATACAGCCGAAACTTGTTCTTTATATTATCTATATATACTAAAACCGGTACCCCTCTTTTTTTGCTGTTATTTCAACTTTGCCACGGTTGCTTTGCTGTCAAACGGAGAGCAGAATGGTGACGCGTGGATCTTCACCGCTTCTTCCCCTCTGCCTCCTCGCCTCATCTGGCAAAACATCGTCCACTTTAGCTCTGTTGCTCACAGTAACAGAACAAATATTCGAAACCTCAAACCCATAAATCGGAGAAAACCTAAGACCCTCAAATCAACAAAGCGAATTCCCACACTTAATCGAACTTCGAAATCGTCTTCAAATTTCAGTCTCAGAAGAGAAACACAGAGAGACGGAGGAGAGAGAGCGCTTTCCGACGGCGATCGATCGGCGATGAGCTGCTCTGTTGATAAGTTGTTCTAAGTTAGAGGCAAACATTGATACATTGAGGAATATTGATCAAGGAGGAGGAGGAGGAGGAGGAACAAAAAGTTTGATTATTTTAACTCTTTAAATGTTTAATCAAATTACAATTGAGGAAAGTAGTTTAATTTTTTCAATTTTCAGATTGAAAATCTGAAGGTTGTATGTAATCTTTGAATTTCGCAGGACTCCGTTTGAAGCATCACCAGGAGCTAGAAAATTTAACACTTGCAACACAGCCGTTAAAGACATTTAAAGTGTTTCAATTTGGCTATTGGCCAATATGTTCGGCGTTTTATGGCGAGAGGTGGTTGGTTTCTGCTTCTAATTATGTTAGCAGAAGGTATAGGAGTGATCACTGCGACAGTTGGTGGACCTCAACAAGAGGTATTTACTCGCAGGGCGACATTTTTGTTCATTTGCATTTAGATTTTTAGTTAGAGTAACCGTTATTTGATTAATATAGTTTACTTAATATTGTTTGTACGAGTTGCTGGGATAAAGATTTCCCATGAATGTTGCATTATATAAAGCATTATCGGGCATGTTTCTTGCATAATGTTGATGTACTTTTGGACTTTGCTTTATTGATTTTTTAATTAATCAAAGTGCAGCATATCCAGGAGCTTATTCGTTGTCTGCAATTTGGACTCTGGTGGCTGGCTCTTGGTGTAGCTTTGGCATGTGCTCGGGATCTAATGCTTTTCATTTTTTTTTTTTCAAGAATGCTACTTGATGAATGGCAGATTTATCATGTGAGTGTCATTGAAGTTTTATCTTGAATCTGAACCGGTTTTTGTCAATTGTTATTTTTAAAGGTTGTGAAAGTTTGTGCTGAAAATTTTTGTGATCATAAAACTGTCATGTCATATTAGTATATTACTTTTGTCAATGTTATGCAAGGACTAAAGTTTGTAGAAGGTTTGTTGATCTACCTATGCTGCCACCAAAATAATGTATGTAAAAAGTTGCTGATTAACGATAATAGGTAGCTTGCAAATTTTTTTTTAATGTATCCTATTAAATGGATTTGAGAGCTTTGAGTTCACTTTGTAACCGAGAAGCATGTATATCATAAAAAGTAAAAGAAATTTTGAAGTGACGATCGAAGAATTTAAAAGTGCTGATTAGTGTATGTGTGCAAATATAACTGTAAACAAGAATACGAATCCATAATTCAACCCCTAATTTGGTTGTACATGTGCATAAAACGTTTTGCATATTTTATACGCTTTAAAAACCCACTGCACTACGCGGGTAATTATACTAGTATATATAATATGAACTTGTGGCATGGCTGTCAAGATATTCAAAGTATTATATTCAAATGGGTAGGATGCTCTCCTCAGCTTTTAGTAAAAAAAAATTAAATAAAATGTAAACATCATGTTGAGATGGACTTTATTGGACAAGATCATCTTTGGATCCTCTTTGTGGGGATTCAAGGATTAATAAATTATGTTCGTTTATCATCTTTGTGGGGATTCAAAGATTAATAAATTATGTTCGTTTGTCGTAAATCATGCGGTCATCTTTTGTTAGATACTATTTATATTTAATTTTAAATTTTAAATTTAAAATGATTTCTAACCGTACAATATAAGATAAATAGACACAATTGATTGATCTTTCGAATTTTCACAAAAAGGATATGGAGGCCTGGTGCTATTAATTGGTTAAACTCAATTTTTAAATGGAGCGAAAAGTTATGGCGTGCTGTTCTGGAATTGCATACCCTACCACCCAGCTAAGATCCCAATGATTGCTGTGCCTTGGTGGGTAAGGACTATTTCAATGCTAACAGGATGACCAATGTGAGACCTATACAAAATCATATCCCTATCATCAAATGGATACCTCCGGCGATACAGATGCTCATACTAAACTTAGATGGAGACAAGGCTGATCCTGGTTTTGTTAGTCGAGATGCAACTGGTTTATCTACTATTGCTTGAGCGTTAACTGGTTAGTAATATGGCGTTGATCATTAATTTGGGTGTGCTGCACAAATTAATCTCATAACCTTAACTATTCATTTTTCATGTCATTATTCATAGATTATCTTTGAAAAATGTACTCAAATCGGAAATGATTTAGAATTATTGTGAAGATTTTATTTGTTTGTACCATACTTGACCAATCCCGAAACTACTGAGTACCGGTCAACGTTATACCGTCAAGGACCCAGAAGAGTTTCCCTCCAACCAAGAGGCCAATTACAGCGCGACACGTGTCGACATCAGAAGCCAATCATAGCGCGACACGTGTCAACATCAGAAGCCAATCACAACACGACATGTGTCAATATCAGAATGAAACTAGAAACTCTCTTCTATAAATAGATATCATTCTCTCACAATATTTTCTAATGTCATTTATACTAAATCATTCACTAGTACTCACTAAAGGAGAGCTTGAACCTATGTAGTTGTGTAAACACTTCACACAATTAATGAGAACTCCTCTACTCCGTGGATGTAGCCAATCTAGGTGAACCACGTACATCTTGTGTTTGCTTCCCTGTCCCTATCCATTTACATACTTATCCACACTAGTGACCGGAGCAATCTAGCGAAGGTCACAAACTTAACACTTTCTGTTGTACCAAAGTCCTCACTGATTTTGTGCATCAACATTTGGCGCCGTTTGTGGGAACGACACTTATTCCCACTCTCTTCAGCTTTGTCAAACTGGTTTCCACCATTCGTACACTCTCTTTTGACCAGGTATCCCTCTCCAACATGGGGAGCGAAGGAAGACACAGCACACAGAATGACACCCCTCTTGCACCTAGTGCGAAGCAATGAAAGAAGGAAGGAAAAAGGGTTGCTCTTCGAGCTAAAGTCCATAAGCTAGAAGCTCAGAACAACAAGATAGTAATGAAGAATGAGGTCCTCCAAGAGCAGTATGAGAAGCCCTTTGAGACACTCCACAAAACTAGGCGTACACAAACATGCGAGCTCGTTACCCCTATGGACATCAATCATCACCTGGGTGCCCCCCAACACGGAGGGTCACCTTCATTCGACATGGACATCCCTGATGAGGAGCAAGTTAATCATCAAAACATTGATCAACATGAGACTTCTCTTAACCTAGCTGCTTCGACCCGAAGCAGGAGAAGTGGAGGAAGACACCTCCTTGCAGAAGGGTTGGAAGGATCGAAAGCCGTTTATCGTGACTGCCAAGACTTCCTAAAGCAATGTCGAGAGAATCCCCTCCACATATGCTCGAAGATCAATGACCTAAGGGTTTCTAAAAGACTCGGTCCCCTCCCACGACCCAGGCTAACTGCTAATCTAGGGAAGGAACGACAGGTCCCAGAGAAACATGAAGGTACATGGGACTCTAAGGTATTCCGACAGACTCGCCCTAGAAGTCAGTACGGCGAGTCCAAGGAAAAGTCACACTCCCTTGCTCAAACTTTCTTACTTCTAAAAGGCGATGGAGACTTACGAAAGAAAATCCCAGTGGTACATGACTCCACTCAAGACCCCCTTGTCCTACAACTCCTTGAGGAAGTAAACAAGTTGAAGGCCGAACGTCAGGCCGAGTTACCTGACTGGAACCAACCCAGGCCTGGCCCTCTCACAAGGAGGATCCTCGACACCCCCCTTCAAGCGAAGACAAAACAAAAGCTTGGTTTACAACTCTATATTGGAAGGGAGGACCCAATTGAACACCTTAACCTCTTTGAGTCCACCATGGCATATCAGATGCACACCGACGAAGAGCGACGTCTTCTCTTCCTCTCCACCCTCTCTGGCGGAGCTCTAAACTGGTATTGCCGTCTTCTGCCTGAGACAGTAGACTCATTTGAGGAGCTGAGGAAACTGTTTGTCTCTCAACACATCTTCCAGACTGATCGCTTGCATTTTTCAGATGACTTGTACACTATTCGCCAGAAGTTGGACGAGTCACTACGAGAGTATGTTGGTCGTTTCAGCCATGAATATTCTCGCTGCGCTGAGGCAGATGACAAGACCGCCCTCAAAGCCTTCACGGCAGGTCTACGTGATTGTTTCTTCAAGTACATGATCAATGCCAACACTTGGAAGACTTACTCTGAGGTGATGGCACATGTTTACAACCATGCCTCCGCCGAGGCAAAGACATATCAAGGGAAACCCCCCACAACCACCCTTTATCAGCAAGTAGGGAGTGGAAGCCAGATCCAACCAAATGAGAAGACCTCGACCTTCCAAACGGCAACGGTGCCTCCCCCTGCCTTACTTAATACTTTGCCAAGTCAACAGACATATCAATTTCAGGGTAAAAGGAAAGATTTACATCCTCACCAGTCTCATTTTAGTAAAAAGAGTAAGGGACACTACCGTGATAACCAAGGGTATCGCCATGATAATCCCCGACCCCAGGCAGTCAACATAGTGGGTCAAGCACGTGTCAGGATAGCCCTTACCCCGAGGTATGAGGCATACACAACTTTGAACGCCACATGCGTGGCCATTTGCCCCAGAATAGCACACCTGGTACCGAAGCCAAAGCTGAGGCACTCGGATTACAAGCCCACGAAGAACACGGGCACGTTTTGCTGCTACCACGAACATAACGGCCATGACGGCGAGAAGTGTATCACCCTTCGTGATCATATTGAAACTTTAGCACGTGGAGGAAAAATTGATCAATTCCTCCTTCACCCTCCAATGGGTAACCGTAACCAACGCCAGGTGAATGTGATATATTCCATAAGTGGTGGCACACCCATATCTAAATCTTCCAACATGGCCATGAAAAATAGTGAACGAGCTTTAAAGTCTGGCCACCAAATGTTTCACGTGGAAGACATCAGGGGAGGTAAGTATCAAAAGCCTAACTGGGATCCAATATGTTTCTACCCTGAGGAAGAAAGAGGTATCATCTACCCTCACAACGACCCACTGATTGTGGAAGCTCACATAGCCAACTTTGAAGTACGACAAATCCTGGTAGACACGGGGGCTTCAGTCAATATCATTTGCTGAAGCTTTCAGGGCACTTAATGTAGCTGAACACTTGCTTGATCGCTCGATTTCCCCTCTAATAAGCTTCTCCGGTGATATCGTGCAACCTTTGGGGAGTATACACTTACCTTTCACCATTGGTACAGGCCCTTACACAGCTACCATTACCATTAACTTCCTGGTGGTTAATTGCCCAACGGCATACAATGTCATCTTCGGACGTATAGGCATCAATGATCTCAAGGCCATGGTATCCACACATATGTTGTTGATGAAATTTCCAACCCCCTATGGCAATGGTTACATCAGAGGAGATCAACTTAGTGCACGATCATGTTACAACACTTCGGTCAAGCAACAACACCTGCCTGTACCTAAGGAAACCCTTTGTATACATGACCAAGTCATAAATACCAGCCCAGACGAAGCCAACTTGGATCTTCACGATGGCAGTAGTCAACCCGACGATCCTCGAGATGACTCTTTCACCCAGCAAGCATAACCCGTTGAAGAGTTGGAGAAAGTCTCTATCTCAAAAGATTATCCGGATCGCATGGTGAAGATTGGCACCACCTTGTCACCACCCATTCGGTTGGCATTGATCTCGTTTTTGCAAGAGAACACTGAGGTCTTTGCCTGGTCATACGAGGACATGCCAGGCATCTCTCTCGATATAATCTGTCATCGTTTAAGTATTAACCCCAAGACCAAGCCAGTGAGACAAAAGCGAAGATCTTATGATGCTGAACGGTACGAGGCAATGAAAGCAAAAGTTGAAAAACTCAAAGGCATAGGCTTCGTCCGCGAAGTCAATTATCCAACGTGGGTAGCAAATGTTGTTCTTGTTAAAAAGAATTCGACCAAGGAAAGTCTCTTGCTCCAAAAGGTCTTGTGGAGAATGTGTGTCGATTACACTGACCTAAACAAAGGATGACCGAAGGATAGCTTTCCTCTTCCTCTTATAGACAGACTTATAGACTCTACGGCAGGGTGTGAACTCCTGAGCTTCATGGATGCTTACTCAGGATACAACCAAATCCTCATGAACCCTTCGGACCAAGAACACACAGCCTTCACTACTGACAGGGGACTATATTGCTATAAAATCATGCCCTTCAGCCTAAAGAATGCAGGAGTGACTTATCAGAGACTGGTCAATTCAATGTTCGCCGAACAGATTGGGA